GATCGGAACAGCACATGTTCTTTAACGCTGTAACATCTGTACACCACCTTTCGTTGATGTAAAAACATGTCCCGCCGCCGCGTGATTTCCCCGTTGATTCTGCGTCGTGATCTGCTCTGAACAGCTGAAAGCCCGGGAGACTCAACGCGTTGTCCGGAATGTCGTCATTCAGCCAGGTTTCTGTGAAACACAGAGCAGCAGAGTGTGAAAAATCCTTATTTGTCCGGGAGAGCAGAAGAAGTTCGTCCGTTTTGTTGGGTAGAGAGCGGAGGTTCGCCAGATGGATGCTGGGCAACGGCGTTCTGAATCCGCGCTTCCTGAGCTTCACGAGCACGCCGGCTCTCTTCCCTCGTCTGCGTGTCCTGAAGCGCTTGATCAGCGCAGCAGCTCCGCCGACTACAACGTTCAGCAAAACGTCCGAATAAACGAAATCCGGTAGAAGATTGTGTGGTGTGTTCTGCCGAATGTTCAGCAGCTCATCCCTGGTAAAACTGATCGTGTTTGAGAAACAAAAAACAGGAAAAACTAACAAAAACAGTACAAACACTGGAGAGCCAAACACTGAAGCTGCCGTCTGCGGCGCCATCGCATTTATAGAATATTTATGCGAGATTATAGATTAACTCTCGACATAGCAGTGATAACCATAGCAATGAATCAGACAAGATATGTGAAAATGTGCATTAAGACTAGCGCACCCTCACTAATTTCAGAAGTACCCTCAGTGATTTATTTCTGGTTGATACACTTTTATTGTAGAACTATACAAAAATACAAATGCACGAAATAAAATAATTTAAGAAATGCATATTTACAATACGCACTTAACTCAAATAAGTATTAAATAAATAACTACAGAAGGCTGACTATAATCAGCTTGCTTCCAATTAGTGGGGTAAGCACTCTTCACCTGAACAAAAAAAAAAAAAAAGCTTTTCTGGTCTTCAATGAAGCAAGAACAAAGTTTGAGCGTGCACATGCAATGACCTCAAAGAATTGTTTAATTGGTTTAATTTCTTTGTTTATTGTAGATAATTTGCACTAATATAATGTAAAGGGGATAATATAAAGAAAACGTAAGAAAAATATGAAAAGACATGGGAGTAAAAAGGTTAGAGAATAAGGGCAGTTAACGCATGTTGTTCATGGTAAAGCTTGCAGCCCTAAATCTGTTGCAGAAAACAAAAAGAAAAAAACAACCGGGCGAATAAATCTACAGAAATGTAAAGGTTGTCGTCGTTATTGTCCAAGGGGGCAACAGACACGCAAGGCGCACGTCCAGTTTAGTGTGAGAGCGAAGGAAATCCTCTTGTGCTCGCGTATTACAATGATGTGCTATCGTTACATGACTGAGCTCTCGACATTTGTCATTAAGATAACTTTATAGAAACCGCCTAAAATTAAGTACATAGAAGAGAAGAAAGCCGCCCTAGGTAGCCGCCTATATTGCCCATGCCAGATACAGTTAGAAATGTAATCAAAACAAGCCAATCGCAAGACATCTGGTAGGAGGCACCTGGGGTGGCAAACCAGATCTCAGCGGGGGCCGGTGCCACCCCTATCTACCAGACCCGCTCCTGGTTAATGCTCACGCCCATCGACGCCCCCTAGATATATCATCTATCGATCTGTCTACTATCTGTCCATCATCTATCTGTTCAGTGTAGGCAATCCCTTTTTTATAGTTTACATGGTCAATGTCACAAATTTTCTTACACTTCGAATATTACAGTAAATACTATTAGTTAATAAACATTTCTTCTTTTTTATTTTATGGGAGGATTTGCATTAAATTTAAAATTATGATAGTCTTTCACAGCGTAAACATTTTAATGATACTCTTATTGTTTCTTGTATGTGTCTGGAACCAAATTAAGTGGATTTGTAGTTTTATGTGAACTATGGATGAAAATGTTAAATATGTAATTGTCCCCAGTCTCCCTACACTTGTGAAATCCAAAAGTTTTTATAATTGTTCACTGATCAACATGTGGTATTTAAACACTTACTGTACAGCCTTGATATTTAACTTTCGAAATGTTTGGTGATATTTCTAACATTATAAATTCTCCCTGAATTCATAGAGAAGAAAGGACTGGGTTATCGCACCAGAGCAATACGTTCCCTTTCAACCCTAAAAATAGTGTAGAGGAAGTGAAACTGCAATGTCCAAGCAATACACCACCCCTTTCATGAAGATTTTTAAGTTTACTGGTTCAAACCTTGCCTTCATTGAAGGGGTGTAAATGTTCCTCAAAGTACCACCACAGCATTGTGTTATGCAATAGGAACAAGCAGTGTGTATTGCATTCTGTCAAATTATTATTCAGCGAACAGTTAAAACCACAATCAGGGTTGAAGACTATCAAAAGCAGTTTAATCGAGCTTATTTTTTTTTTAGATATCATCAAATCAAATTTGGAGTTTTGTGGCTTTTACTCCGTGTCTGATAGCTTTGTCTTTTAACTAAAAGTTGGCATTATTGATGACATCATCCTGCACTCACAGGCGTATCCAAATTTTTGACCAATGGTCCCTAGAATGAGAATGTCTCTCTTTGTCTCTGTCTTTGATATGTTCCCATATTTCATGTTTTAATATAAGCCACAACAACACAGAAATGTAATTTCATTTAATTGAGCTGTTAAATTTGAGCTTTTGCTGATTTTTTTGTAAGGTTCTTTGAGGCTCTTTGTAATGTGCCTCATTCTATTAACTCAAATTCAACTGAATGCAATTGAGGTGACACGTCAGAGGAAGTTCATCAGGTCACTAGTAACTTTTCTAAGTAATATACGTGGTTTTCCGTAAAACCATTGCATAGGAAGAGAAAACCTCAGTGTTCACAAAAGTTAAAAAGTTCACAGTTACGCAAACACCTGACTAAATGCATTCAAGATTATCTCTTATTCTCACACATCTCTCTGAAGATCTTGATTGGCCAATGGTATCATTCTACGGTCAAGTAGTTTTATATAATGATGATAATCTTTATATTTGGCCATTACCATCCCAGTGATTATCTGACACAACTGTATAATAGTTTCATGATTCTCATACCACTTGTATTAGTCTTTCTTTCTTCTTATAAATATATTTTTTTACATGATACTGATGATCACCCCTATACTGGACATATCTTGCAATTTATGACCTAAAAGGAAAGAAAAAAATGACTGGGCAAAGGAACATGACAGTTTTGACATCAAGACAGTAAGTTGCTTTTCTCTGTTAAATTAGAGAAGCTCAGGAAACGAGTGAGAAGAGTGACGACACACAAAGTTTGCCACTCCTTTCTGGTTCATACATTTCATAATATATACAGTACAGAGAGTGGGAAAGAACATAAGTTATGACTTCATATAAAATAAATAGGCAGTCACATCAAAATGTGTCATCAGGATGAAGTATATGAAGGTGTGTCTTGTTTGTTCTTATCTGAACAAAAATCTATTGAGAAAAAGTTGTTAGGAAATGCATCAGCACGAGCAGTGTAATGCATTCAGTCTGATTCATCAATACAACAACTTTCAGTGTTTCTCTGATCTCACAATCTGACCCACCCGAGTCATGGAGCACAATACTAACTAACCCGAGTTAGCTTAACTACCAAGGGTGGGGTTTGAGTGGATGTTGAAGATTTGCAGAATGAGGGTTACCATCCCGACACAAGTCCAACCTGTCCAGGAGAAACATTGACCATAAATGTGGAGTGCCCTCTAGAGGCATTCTAGAGGCCATTTTTTGCTCTAAACGCTTCTTTTTGGCTCTTAACGGACTGTTTTGGGTTCAGTATTAGTGATCCAATGCATGTTACTTTTACTAGATCTGCAGTATGTAGTAAGTATACTGTGTACATTATGTGAATTTTATGTTTGCATAGAATGACCTGCAGTAAAAGCCAGAAGTGTGCAGTATACAACAGAGCACAATATCCCACAATGCATTGGATGTGACTTGACCTTCAAGTTTTGATTGTGACAGATGAATGAATTACATGCTATCTCTTTTTTTGGACAATGCAGAGAAGAATGTTGGAAAGATTCGTGGAATATAAAAAATGTATTGTGAGAGTATTTGTTCTTTTTCATTATCACAACACAATATTATAAATTCATGATTCATCCTTCAAGATGTTGCTGATATTATAATTAGGGCTGGGTATTGACAGGCCTACATTTTTCTTGACGCATTTTGCTTACATTTAAAAGAAAGCTCTCTATGTGAATGCTTTCTATTTATAGGGAATTGTTACTGAGTCAAACTGGAAACTCGTTCTGTTGAACTATTTATTAAAAACGGCTCATAAGAGTCATTTGTTTCAGGTCAACTGGTATGATTCACTACAATGAACCAGCTCATAAGAGTCATTTGTTTGTGAATCGGACTTCACTGGGTGCATTGTACAAAATGTTTGTTTTGCGTGCAGTCTGAGAGCACAGCTGAATGACCATTATTTCGTAAGAATGAGTACCACCATGGAACGACCTTGTAAGGTTAACTATTGATTCATTCATAAACTAAACTATTCATTAAACAATCTCAGCAATACGTAATATTATATCAAACATTAACACTTCAACTCTTAAAAGAACCATTTTATTTTCTTAGTGTGAAGATAATTAAAAAATCTAAATAACCCTTTTTTGGAATGAAAAGCTTCTATTGATATTAAAGGTTCTTAACGGAACAATCAATGTCAATAAATAACCATTATTTTTAAGAGTGTAAATCAAGCAGTTCAAAACAGACCTGTATACTAGTGCTACCATACTAGTCCTGCACTATATTGTGCACAGTATTCTCATTTTTTTAAACATATAATACCAGTATGACCAACTGCACATTAGTGAAGGGTCATTTATGAACAGTTTGTTAATTTTGCATCTGTTGTGTGACAAACGAGCAAAACACTCAGACTTGAAGACACAGGTGAAATGATAAACAGCTGCAGCAAAATCATGTCCTTAATGCAGCATTTTGTTCATGCAAATTGTTTAGTTTTAGTATGAAGTATACACATATGAAAAAAGTGCCCATAGTTACAGAATCACCCTATTACTAATGTTGTGCAACATCCTATTACACAACATTAACCAATATTTGGTATTGCGTTAGTAAATACTTATACTAATGTACATATGTGTGACATGCGCTACTTAAATGTTACCAGTTTGGGTCATTTTTCCCTTTATGGCTTGATATGCATTGAGTTGTGTGGGTTTAAATGACAGGGGTGTTGCACAGGTCCGTCTGACAGCACTTGGCATTAATATAAGGGCTGGACTGAAGAATCATGCAGTCTGCCATGCTAATGCACCTCCGGAAGTAAGAATCTAGAGGAATGGATAAGAATATATAAGAAAAAGAGGTTGTTTGTTCATCTTGACATGATTTTCTCTGTACAAGTCTTTATATATTTTTGAGCAAAGTTCATTGCACACGTGATAATAATAGGAAACTCACAGGGAGAGATTGTAAATCTGGCCGATACACAAGTGTCTTTTTTATAGCCACACGTCTCCTGCGTGGTCACACAACGTCCTCCAGGTGTGCGGGGGACACAGTTGTGACATTTCAGGGCAGAGCCTACAACACAGTTAATCTGATTATGAAAAAATGCTTTTTATGACACTTTAAATGACACATTATTGTTTTGCACAATCAGACTCTTTAGATAAGACAGCATAAACCTACCATTCTCCAAAACCAGGGCAACAACAAGAGCCAGCAGCAGAACCTTCATCATCCTGTTGAATAAATGGGAAAACTAATCAGTTGACTATGAGGTGAAACAATATATTGTGTCACAACATATCACAATACAAAAATACAGCAATATGTATTGTGGATAGCGACAGTATGTATTGTACTGTGTAGTTCAACCAAAATTAAAGCTTAGACAGATTTAATTTAGCATCAGATATAGTAATGGTGCATCAAAAATGGCAAACCCAGAAGGTCACACAATTGAGATTCCATGTTTATTAATGATTATTTTGTATTATTAAATACAAAATAAAACACGTTATTTAATAAAACAGAATATTTAAAACATTTATATGTAGTCAGCGATATGAGTGCAAGCATATGAGTCTAACATAACTATGTTTTTTTTTCTTTTAAAACATGTCTGTTTTTAAAACAAGTCTGGATCATATTTTTTCAAATGCATGTTTTGTTATTATTCAATTTATTATTATATGTTCAAGTCAAGTCAAGTCAAGTCACCTTTATTTATATAGCGCTTTTAACAATACAGATTGTGTCAAAGCAACTGAACAGCATTAATTAGGAAAATAGTGTCAATAATGCAAAATGACAATAGTAAACACAAATTTTTCAGTTAAAGACAGTTCATCATTGAATTCAGTGATGTCAACATCCAGCTCAGTTTAAATAGTATGTTCAATAAAAATATCGTTTTTGTATCTGTGAATTTTACATTGTGACATTTTGATAATTTATTTTGATTATAATTTATTAAAGAAAGTATTGATATAGCACAGTAATATTTGTTGAGTTTAATTTGCTGATGTTAAAGGATGATTCTCATAACTGCATTGCATTTTTTTTTTTTTTTTTTACATTTATTGCATTATAATACTGAGAATGTGAGGAGAAATACAGTTCATTTGTCATCTAAATATGTCACAATGCAAAATGCACAATTATTTTGATTTTGGGGTGAGAAATGACCTGCACCTCAACAGTTTTCCCAGAATTATTGTCAAATTATCTTTCAGTGCCTTATTATTCTAGACGAACCAGAGAACAATAGGAGTTTAGATCCTAAGAGTTTGTGCTTTCAAAGAGAAAACACTGTTAATCTGTACTTCATTGTCCGAAACTCATTTTATTTTCTTACAATTCTCCTTTTCAAAATGCTAAATTAATCTTATGATAAACTTAATGCAGTGTAATTTAACAAAGAAAAGTTGCATAATGCTGTGTAAACGTACCTTGACTGTGAAGCAGAGCTGAGCTGAAGTGAGTTCATACACACCTGTGTTTGTCCCTTATATACAGTGATGCTGCCTGTAAATTTCCTGGAATCTTTGTCAGGAATTTGGAAATTCCGTTTTGAATTTCGGCCAAAGAACTTGTACCACAACACAAGTGTTTGCTCACTGTGTGCTCTTGGCTTAAGTTTCAGATGATACAATAAGCGTCCCTTTTACTGGTTTACTGGGCCATGTGGTTGTGTAACATTTTAGTTTGTTCTGGTCTTTTCTAGTTCAGCAACAAAGATTCATTGTTTTCTGTTATCTTTTTTACTGGGCTTGCGCAAACCTGACCGGAATATAGGTATATAAAATATCACCATGTAGATGTTTTTTGGATAATTTTGTTGCGCGTGAGCAGTTATTCACTCTTACATGGTCTAAAGCAAAAGATGCCCAACCAGGGCCTTTGCAATAAAACGTATAGAGAATAAAAGTGAATTTACAAATGTACATTTTAATATAATATAGTTGAATATAATGCAACATTTACTTTTGGCCCATGGCCACCAGTCAGGTCTGATTTTTGGCCCTTTGTGTGCTCTAAAGCATTCAGTCTCTATTAGATGTCCAGAACAGAAATTCGCACATTGCACACAAAATAGAGACTGAAAAATAGACTAATTGTTTGCCGTTCACTTAAACATGCAACATAATGTCAATGCAATGCAACAACAATGTAGCATCCCTAACGAAAATTAACCATGGTTTTACCACAAATAAAAAAAAAAACATGGTTATTATAGTTAAACCATGGTAACTATAGTAAATTAACCATGGTTTTGCTACACTAACTATAATTTAACCATGGTATTTGTAATACATGGCATGGTAAGAGATGCTACTCTTAGAGATGTTTGTTTGCACTGCATAATTTGTACAGTTTCACCTGTACTTTTCATCTACTTTTTTTTTTAGTGTACAGTAATGGTCACAGTATGCCGTGAATAGTTGAGGCGATTGAGAGAGACACCAGGTGGTCTGGACGGGAAGCTGCAGGCTTACATTGAGTTACTGCTGATTAAATGTCTGTGATAACATACAGTTCTGACATATTTTTTTTTTATATAAAGTAAAAAAAAGTTTTTTTTAAATGAATTAAATGACATGAATCACCATCATCAGTTCTTTTTGTAAACCATGATATTTATTGTCTGACAAAATCTGTAAATAAGACAGTGAAGCCTCTTTAAACATCTATATTATTGTAAACATGAAAGGTTTATTATCAGTTCAGAATTGCTAAACTCGATTGATACTCTGGAGAATAACCGTTTGTTACGTCATACTGTTTTGAAACATTTAAAAATGTCACATTGCACAATACTATGGAAATGATGTCACTTTTATTTGTTTACTTACGCAGTACAAAATAAGCTGGATATGGCTTATTGGCATTTAAAAGCATATTATCACCCAGTATCACTGCAAATATGCTTTCCATCTAAAACAAATCGATTTTTGCATAGTCTATCACTCCCGCAAAATCACATCTGCTGACCTGTAACAGAGCAATAACAATGTGGCCGTCCTAGATCGGGGTGTTGCACAGGTCCGTCTGACAGCACTTGGCTTTAATACTGGGACTGGACTGAAAAATCATGCAGTCTGCCATGCTAATGCACCTCCGGAAGTAAGAATCTAGAGGAATGGAAAAAAATATAAAAGTAAATGAGTGTCATTGTTCATGTGTTTGTGTGAAAGTCTTCCTAAGGCTTATTTTTGTGCATCTTAAAAGCGACATCTATTGTACACGTGATCATTTTAGATAAGAAACTCACAGGGAGAGATGGTGAATCTGGCCGATACACAAGTGTCTTTTTTATAGCCACACGTTTCCTGAGTGGTCACACAACTTCCTCCAGGAGTCCCGGGGACGCAGTTATAACATATCAGGGCGAAGCCTACAACAGGCATTAGGCTGATTATGAACTATTGATTTTATGACACTTTAAATGACAGATTATTAGACTCTTTAGATAAGGTTTCTGATCTAAAACCGTTCAGAAACAGCAGTTTGGCTTTAAACATACCATTCTCTAACACCAGGGAGAGAACTAGAGCCAGCAGCAGAACCTTCATCATCCTAATAAAGTGGAAAACTAATCAATTGACTAATCTGACTAGGGCTTTAACAATATGTCATGTCACAAGATATTACACAATTTCCAAAATACAACAATATGTATTGATAATAGCTACAGGTATGGTATATAGTTTGCCTAAAAATAAAATAAAAAATGCATCAAATATGGTCAACCCAGAAGGTCACACATTTTAGCTTCAGTGTTTATTAATTGTTAAATTAAAACACATTGTTTAGTAAAATATGAATTTTAAAACATTTTAGAACAGTTCTGGATAATATTAAAAATGATGATTATGATTATGATTATTATTATTATGAATATTCAATAATTTTGTATCATTGTGGCTTTTTTATATTGTAATCAATTTGATGATACTCTATTCATAAAGTATTTATATAGCACATAATATTTAATATTATAATATTATATTATAAATATTATAATAAATATAATATTTGTTGAATTTATTTAGCTGATTTTAAAGGATGATTCTCATAACTGAATTGCAGTTAGATTTTTTAAATTGCATAATAATACTAAAAATGTAAGAAGAATATTGTAAATTTGTCATCAAAATATGTCACAATGCAAAATGTACAATTATTTTGATTTTGAGGTGAGAAATGGTCTGCACCTTAACAATTTACTCAGAATTATTGTTAAATTATCTTTCAGTGCCTTATTATTCTATCTAGACGAACCAGAGAACAATAGGAGTTTAGATCCTAAGAGTTTCTGCTTTCAAAGAGAAAACTGTTCTTCATTGTCTGAAACTCGTTTTATTTTCTTACAATTCTCCTATTAAAAATGCTAAATTAATCTTATGATAAACTTAATGCAGTGAATTTAACAAACAAAAGTTACAGAATGTGTGTAAACGTACCTTGACTGTGAAGCAGGGCTGAGAAGAAGTTGGTTCATACACACCTGTGTTTGTCCCTTATATACTGTGATGCTGCCTGCATGTGAACTTACAGGAATCCTGGAAACAAGATTTTTTGTGTTGATTTCAGGCCAAAGAAACTAGAAACACAAATGATAAGTGCTGCTTTTATTGGTTTACCGGTCCATGTGGATGTGTAACGTTTTTATTTTGTTCTGGTCTTTTCCAGTTCAGCAACAAAGATACATTGTTTTTCTCTTGTCTTATTTAATGTGCAAAGTTTGCTGAAATAAAGATACATTCAAGAGTGTTGAATTTAATAGGAGCTCTAGACACACGTGCCTACCAATATCCAGTGACTACTGAATTGTCACTAGCAACACCTTTGATCAAATATTTAAATAATTGAAATATATTGATATGTTAAAGGGGTCATATGATGTTGCTAAAAAGAACATTATTTTGTGTATTTGGTGTAATGAAATGTGTTTATTTTCCACATACTGTACATTATTGTTTCTCCTCTATGCCCCGCCTTTCTGAAACGCATCGATTTTTACAAAGCTCATCGGTCTGAAAAGCAAGGTGTGCTGTGATTGGCCAGCTATCCAGTGCGTTATGATTGGCCGAATACCTCAAGCGTGTGACGGAAATGTTACGCCCCTTAACATACTGTGATGATGCCCTGTCAGGCCGGAGCGATGATTCAAAAACATGAAAACCCATTATAAACGAGGCATTCATTGCATCCAGTGGGGACATAATTATGGATTATAATGACTTATACTGTCTTTTTACGCGTTGCGTTGCATCGCGCCGCGTAAACATAAAACCATGTCTGCATTTGTGATCGGAGAAATGACAAACAACAAGCCCTACTCTACACTGCCCAAAAAACTCGCTTTAAATATAAAAAATATAAAATATAAAAAGTCTTTAAATATAAAAATCGTACTTACAGTCTGTGAGTCAGAACAGCCGGCATTGTAGTCTACTCTACCAGGATCAGGAAACGGTCCTCCATAAAATGTGCTGCACACAATGTATTTCCTCAGCGACCAGCACGGATCAGCTCTAGACATGACGAAGCAGATATTGTCCTCTTTTGGAAGGCCAAACAAAGTAGTTTCGCTTTCACAACGAAACACACAGCGCCTTCACGACATGGCGGCGGCAACAACAATACTACAGCGAGAATAAAAGTTACGCCTTCTTTCTTTGCGTGAACATTTGTACGGCGTTATGCAAATCTTCCCACATAGTGATGTAGATATGTGGGGGCGTGTTAGAACAAGCCGTTTTAGGTAGGTGTGGCTGAATCGTAACTTTTATAAAGAATATCTCTTTGGATTTGAGACTTTAGTCTTTGCAACTTTACAGATCTTCTTTATGCACCAAGAGCTTGTAACACTCCAAAGAGAAAGGAAAAATTGAAATTGCATCATATGACCCCTTTAACTACAGTTGTTGTAATTTTGGCCACATCTGAAATGGGTCACACCATTGAAATTAGCAGAGAAGTTTAAGTTAATATGCCAGCAAACTGCACTTTTTTAATGACATGCATTTGATGCATGGACAGATTGAGAACATAAGGTAAGAGTTTAAGTTTCCCCACCAATGTCACAATCAACCCTGCACCCTTGGGTACATTTGATAAAATGTTAATGTTTTGTAGGATGATGTGTTGGGCAAGAGCAGATGTTCATTCTTACACGGTCTAAAGCATTCAGTCTCTATTAGATGTCCAGAAAATAAATGTGCACATTGCACATGCAGCAAAAATAGACAAATTGTTTGCCACTTGCTTAAACATGCAAAATAATGATATTATGCAACAATGGTGTAGTCTTAAAGGGGAGGTACAATGCTGTTTCATACATTCAGAGTTGTTTACACTGTTAAAGAGTTGGATTCTCATGCTAAGCATGGACAAAGTTTCAAAAAACAATTTGGACGTATGACAGAGTATTTCTGTGCCAAAAATTGTACTTCCGGGTTCGTACAAGTTTCGGAGAGTTTTTTTTCGATCGTGGCTCTTCATGAGTAGACGAGGGAGGAACTCCTTATATGGGCATTTCTACCAGAAGAATGCGCCCGCGCACGCATCGACCAGAGTGAGAGCAGAGCGAGATTGCGCCCATTAACGCGCTTCATCCGGCGGCTGCGCTGCACAGGACTTGCTCGGGAAGAATATCTCCAATCCAAAGAATTGTGTTTTTGGTTGTAAGGGAAAGATAACTTTGTTCAGCTTCCTAAAGAACCCAGCGTTATGTAAACAGTGGATACAGTTTGTTTT